TGAGAAAACTATTTATTAAATATGAATTCACTTTTGGGTGATATTATGTTTGTTTTGTCGTTTGTTATGTTAATTATATTAATAATAATATTCATTTGCGTCCTGTATTTGATGCGATTTTTTGACTTTTCCGGCGACGATGTATGGCTGCCATCGAGTGAACGGACAGTCCGGACATCGCATACACCCGTCAACTACCAGAGCACCAGAATTGTGTTCGACGGCAACCAACTGTATGCCATCGATGTGGACAGGACTTCACAGGACATCAAGACATCCTCAGTGTTTAGTAATAGCGTTGAAAATTTGTAATAAAGTTAACCAGTTCAAATATTTTCTAAATTTAGATATATAAGTTACTAGTTGGTTTTTCTTGTTAAGATTTATTGGTTATAAATTTTTTAATTATTTGTTATTTATATTTACATTCACTACAGTTTGTTACATGATTATTAAGCTAGACATGCATTATCTTGTTTAATATATTTTAATTTTGTTACTATGTTTTTAGTTAAATTAATTGTAATTTAATTTATTTAAACTAAATTAATAAATTGTCATTATTTTAAAAATAGCTATTTATTTGTACGATTATTTAACCTTTAGCATTAAAATAAATTTTTATATGAAAAAAGATATGTTCAATATCTATCGTAATTGGCTATTAAATAAGTTTAATCCTAGCTCCAGACAACCTTTAACAATCGGCTTGATTTATAAACCACTAGGGTAATTTATTGACTACTTTTGACATATGACAGTTCATTTACATTGAGATGTTTACGAGAGGGCACAGATACAGTATTTATGCAATATAATCCATACAGTTATTTCACTCAAATAGTTATTCTTGCACTCGAAATACGAATCATATAATTGTCGATCACTTCCCACTTGTTTCAGATAATCGGCTAAATGTTTGGGTGACTCGAAGTCCAGTGCAGAGATATGTGAGTGTTTGGTGTATAGTTAGCCGATCCTAACACTACATGTTTTGAAATGAAAATTTTTTTAATGAAATCATAAGTTCATGAAATGAAATACATTCAGGAATTAAATCGTATTGTTCAGTATGTAATAAAACAACTTTTCCTGTACATAATCTTTGCATAACTGATCAAATAACAACTATTTCATTTATTAATAGATATAAAACTTAGTCTTAAAGAATACTGAATTTTTAAACGAGGTAAAATTTGTAACTCTTCTTAATGTTGGCCATACCTGAGCCATCGTATGAACAGTCCCGACCACACCCGCCAAATACCTGTACATCCATATATTGCTGTACATCCTTCAATTGATTGACATAGTCTTCCCGTTTGGACGCCGACATAGAGTCGGACACAATCCATGCGATTTTCTTAGTCTTATTACTCCACTCCTAGTTTAGTGTCCAGTCACTGGACTCCAGTGTTTGTTGCTCTCAGTTATCTAGTCGTACGGCTTGTATATGTCAGAGTCTGTCCTATAATGCATAATCCAATACATATATTGTGGAAATTGTTTGTAATATGTCATGACTGCATCTTGGTAATTCCATATCAAGTAACACCCACTTAAGTCTTATGTCTGGTATGTTTATAGTGAGGCATATCACTCATATTAACTTCATTCCAGTAGAACAACACTATATCACTGGGGTTTAGGTTGTGTCGGTCACCCGTCACCACTATATCACAGTCAGTGTACTCACAATCAGGTGGTATCATGTCCTGATACCAGTCCTTTCCCTACTTTTAGTGCACAACAAAATTGAAAAATCGTTTAATTTGATAGTTTGTAAATGTTTTGTAACTGCTTTTCATCTGTCAAAACAAATTTTAAATATTAAAAACTCTTTCAAATCAGTGTATTGTATCTCAAATGGGCTCAATATTTCCAAAAACAGATGAAGTCTTAACGTCCTGTGAAGTCCTGTCGGGATCGATGGCATAGAGATGGTTGTGTGAGACACCCAAGTGTGTGCTCTGGTGCTGAACAGCCGGTGAACTCCGTTGACTACTCGGCCACAAGTCTTCGGTCGCAAAGTCAAAGAATCGCATTAAATACATGACCACAATGAATATTATAATCAGTATTATTAGTAAAACAAATGACAACACAAACATAATATCACCAAAAGTAGTATTCATATTCACACGTATTTTGTTTGGCACTAATTTACATCAAATATCAATACATTTTATATATTGTATGTAAGCGAGTCGTAAAGTTATATGAAAAATAAATCTTTAATACAAAATGCATATCAAAGTAGCTATTTTTACTTTTTATTTGAATGAGAGAGAGAGAGAGAGAGAGAGAGAGATTCTGTAATTGAAATATAAATGAAAAAATTTGTCAAATAACGATTTTCCGGTCGTAACTGTTATTATATTTGAATTGACTTGAATTGACGCACATTTACTCATTGATGGCACAAAAAGACAATTTATGTGTTCATAAAAATTGTAGTAAATTTGCAAAAACAAAACAAATTGAAATATAAAACAGAATTGAAATAAGAGATTTTCATTTCAATTCCTAAACGTTAATAGATATTCTGTACGTATTTATTTTGTAAAATGAGACATATATTTGAGGTATTAAGCTAGTATCAAAATGTTTTTACTGCTTATTATATAGTATCTGCATAACAAAAAAGTATGATGAGATGTAGTAAAACTACTTATTAAAAAGTTGACCTCGACAACTTTTTAAATCCATGCTTATTATTAAAAAATATCACCTGCTTTTCTATAAAACTTTTTAATAAATTACCAATGTTTTTACAAAACAAATGTAAATATAATAAATTTATAAAAAAATTTAAATGTTTTTTATGACAAAAACTGCATCTTTTAAAACAAGATCTTAAATTTGAAATAAATTATTATTTATGATGAAAATATAAATATATTGGTAATGAAAATATTTAAAACAAAACTTCACAAAATTGTTTATAATTAACATTTTATTAGAAAATATTAATTCAAAATGAATTTAACTTACAACAGTATTATTATTATAATACAAATAAATTTATTTTTGATATTTCACTCAAAGAATATTCTTTCTTATCAAATGTTTAACTCATCCAATGGTTTATTACATAATATATTGTGTTATTCAATGATTCATTATATGATCAAATATATTAAAATATATTACACAACAGACTTACAACATTTAAATAGTTTTAATTTAAATCATTATTTACAAGATTTAATTTTAAATATAGTTTACTGTACAGTAATAGTTATTCTGTATTTGATAATATTTATTATTGATATTTTGTATTTAAATGATTTGATAAGTTAACCGTTTGATTTTTAGTTTTAATATACACGAGATTATTACTTTTATTATTTATATTATGATTTATGAAAAATAGTAATCTTTATGTAAACTCAAAACAACTTATTTTTTCTAATATTTTTTATATTATATTTTAGTCCCAATGATGTTAGCATGGTCATTAGTTTATACATTTATATAATATACAAAATAAATTTCACTCTTGTCTTTAACTTTCAGGCAAGTCATGCCTTTTTATAAATGATAAATGTCCTTTTATTTATATAAGTTAAACTTTATATTACCGGTCATAATAGTTTATATCTGTATCATCATAATGCACATTTAATACTCAAATAATAAGTATATCTGATAGGATATTCCGAGGGGTGTATTAGAAAAAAGCTTTAATTTTAATCTTTCAATATTGCTTCAAACTTTACATGTAAGTTATATTTTAAGATTAAGATTAAAGCTTTTTTCTAATACACTTCTCGGAATATCCTCTCAGATATATATAAATTTTGTATTTAAAAAATTTCAAGTAATCAAATAATCCAAGTTATTAAATAATATTTTTGTGCTTTTTAAATTAATTCCGATATGAAAAACTATTCATAAATTGTAATATTATTTTAAGATCCATTGTTTAATGTGAATAATATTTATTTAACTTGTTCATATGACTTAATTTCGATGATTGTTATCAAACATTGCTTTTGAATGTTTGAAAATATATAATATATACAACAAAAAATGAAACTTATAAAAACAATAAAAAATTAAATTCCTGTATACTAAATAAA